ATGTATAACACTGGCTCAATTTTATGCTTCTTCTGCAAAATACAATCAACATTAGTTTATGACAACTTGATTTCTCCTTAAGCCTGGTTGCGTACTTGTATACAGACACTGCCTAAGTATACAGTATATGTATTATTCATTCTCCTTTCCCACCCCACACACACACAGGCACACACACACAACCAAGGTATGAGTTATGAGGAAAGGCTACGGGAGCTAAACCTCACGTCCCTGGAAGACAACAGGAAGTGGAGACATGATCGTCACCTACAAAATTCACAGGGGAATTAACAGAGTGGACAAAAACAAACTATTTAACATTTGCAGAACATGAACAAGGGCACAAAGGTGGAAACTTGGTACCCAAATGAACCAGAGACAATAGAAAGATTTTTTCAGTGTCACAGTAGTTAACACCTTGCGCTGCCCGGTATGCGCACCCCAGCCCACTCCAAGGTGGGCCGAGTGTTTCCTATGAGCACGCAACCCCACTAAAATGTGTACAGTATAATCTTTTAGGTTTCCTAACCTCAATTATCGTGCCCTGTCACTCATTTTGGTAACAAGTTGTTCGTAACAGAATTCTCTAAAAGGATATATGCATATAAGGTCACAAAGACCGCCGTGCCATCCACAGCAAACCCAAAAATTGGCAGAGCATTACGCATGAATGCACAATCGCCCTAAAATGTGCATACTCTCTTTAGTTTTCTCACCTCAATTTTCGTGCTACGTCGTTCCTTTTGGCATCAAATTGTTTGCAATCTAAAGGCACGCATTTCAAAATTAGTCCCATAATGATCGGGAAAAAAATGGAATTTCAACAAATATTTGAATTTTGGACGCAATATCAGTCCCCGCCAGACAAAAATGTTAACAAATGGAATGCATTAGACAGTGATGTGGTGCAGGCAGACTCTATACACAGTTTTAAATGTAGATTTGATAAGAGCCCAGTAGGCTCCAGAATCTGTACACCAGTTGTTTGACAGTTGAGAGGCAAGACCAAACACCCAAAGCTCAACCCCCGCAAGCACAACTAGGCGAGTAAAACTAGGTGAGTGCACGATAGTTTTTATGGTAAGAGCCACAGAGATACTACAGGAAAGAGGTGGTTGGGTTGACTGTGTTTATCTGAACCTAAAAAACCAGCGTTGAATGTAATGAAACGCCATTTTCTGGGTGAGACCCGGAGGCTCCCCGGAGCTTTACCGGCTGATATGCTAATGTCAGACTTTGGCATCAGTCATGTGTATGGAGTTCTAGGGCCTACCGGGGACCACGAGCCAGAACCTGGCCCCCTCAGAGAGGCAAGGGGAGCAATGGCCTATAGAAACCCCCGTGTGGTTGGAAGCATTCTATGTCTGCCATCGACCGGGTCAAGCATCCAGAAAGGTAAGCATTCCAAAACAAACCCCTATTCTGGTGAAAATTGCTACCTAAGCCGAACTAGTGGATAGAACTCTTCAACAGAAAACAAGGAAACTAGTATGACGTCATACGTCACCGCGCCGCTGTTTGCGCAGCTCCCCCCTCCCCAGGAGGGGGAAGGGGGAGCCCCAGACCTCCCACGCCGGCTATCCACCCACCAGTTCTGAGGCTGGATGTCAAAACACGCGAAAAACGCCGACCGGAGGGAGGGAGGGTTGCCGGGGAGCCTCCGGGTCTCACCCAGAAAATGGCGTTTCATTACATTCAACGCTGGTTTTCTGGGGGGAGCCCCGTCGGCTCCCCGGAGCTAACTACCCACAGAGGAAGGTCAAAGGGACAAAACCGGGAGGCGGACACCACGCACCCCCCAAGGAGGCGAGACAACTGGCAGCAAATGCCAACCCAAGGCGCCACAGCCCCGAAAATCCTGGGAACAACACGAGAACCACGAGCAGCAAGGCCCCTGCACGAACACCAAAAATCCATGCCCGAAAGACTGCAAGGCCACGTCGCCCAGATGGCAGCGAGAGCAGCGAAGCCACGAACGCCACAGGCATGAGGGAAGAACACAGGCAGCTTAGCCGCAAGAACACGGCTGACCACCTGGGACACCATCACCCGCGAACCGGGAAGAACAGAACCGGATCAACGCAAAACGCGCTCCGGACCCAAACGCCGTGGCACGCAAACAGCGGAGGGCCGCCACTGAACACACAAACGACACCCCCGGCCCGACCAACGAAGCACCAACAAACCCTGGACCCCTCCAGAATGCAGCAGCCCCACCCCGCGCCAGAAAAGATGGAGACTGCTGCCATCAAACAACCAAAACGCTAAAACCGAAGGAGCAAGAAAACTCAGCGAACCGACCCCCAGAGGCAAAGGCCCAAAGGAAAGAGCCGACGAAAAAACACACCGGAACCGAAGGGGCACTACCAACCGAGGAGAAGACAGAGCACGCTGACCAGAGACCAGGATGGTGCAAGCGGAGCACGAACAGGCCGGAGGTGAAACGACGCACAAGACAGCTGACTAACGGTGCAGAAGCAACACCAAGACCGAAAGCAAGCTGAAGCGGCTCCGCCTGCGCCGCACGAAAAGAGGCGACAGTATGTGGCAAGACGACGGCCCCCAACCCCCACTAGAAAACCAAGCCGAGAGTAAACCAAGCCAACAAGAGTAACCACCTAAGAAGGGACAGGAAAAGGAAGGACCGCCAAAATACCCCATACTGCCGCCAAGAGAAGCATGCAGGTGGGACACCTACCACGAAGCCACCCGACCACCAACCGGAGGCAAGACCACAAGGCAGAACATAAGCAGCCCCAACAAGGCCCCTCCGAGCCCAGGAAAAAGGCGGAGCCGCGAGAAGATCTCGGGCGCGACCACCGAAACCCAGGCGGCACAAGGAGATGGAACGTCTGCCGAACAGAAAAACTCCCCAAAGCATGCAAGCCCGCCAGGAGTTCAGAAACGACGGGTCCGACGCGAGACATCGCAAGAACCCCCCCCCCCCAAAAAAAAAAAACAACCGGCAGGGCAGGAAAACCAAAGAAGGCGGAAGGGTCGCCGCCAGAACAGGACCCGAACCAAGGGGCACGAACAACTGCAATAGACCGAGACAAATAAGCACATCACAGGACACAGGCTGACCAACGCCTAAGAATACACGCAGAACATCCCTGCTGCAGAGGAGGCAGGAAGAAAGAGCAGAAGCACAAAAAACCCCAGGAGAACAACCAGGGGTGGACAATCAGGCAGGGACAAAAACCGCACGCAATCCCCAGGCACAAAACAGCAGCAAAGTGCCACTCCACAACCGGACACAAGAACAAGGACACGCCACCGTGAAACACGGTACCAATGCACACGTGCAGCAGCAACAGCAACTTGTAAATAGCAACTCCCCTCTGCAAAGGCAGAGAACGGAGCAGGCAGACCCCAGACAAGGCCAACGGAGACACGACAAAAACCTTGCAGGCCCAGAAACCTGCACCAGGCGACCGACGGCAGAAAAACCCCGCTCGATACCTGCTGGATGAGGTACTGGGAGCTCTTTTACACCTGAAGCCCGGTCCAAGGCTAGGCCAGACCGGCCAGAGGATGGCCCACCAGGCAGCTGCTAGGAGCAGTCCACCGGCCCACATACCCCCACAACCAGGACGGGCCGGAACTGCCATACGAAAACAGGCCAGTGCGCCCTGGAAGTCCACGGACGAACCAGCAGGCTTATGCTCGCAAGTAGGTCGTGTAACAAGCACAGACCACTGATGGTAATACAGTGTCCCCCAAAAGTGCCAATAGCACCACTGCACTCCACTGGTACTATCCCGCAAGTTCTACCAGATAGGCGGGACCCAAGAGCCAGAGCTCAAATCCTGCAAGCACAGCCAGGAGCCTCACCAGGTGAGTACAGAACCAACCCTACAACCCCCACACCTCACAACATTAAAAAGGGAGGGTCCCCTGAATGACACCAGCATGGGTTGGACATGCACATGAGGGGGGACAGGAAGGGGTGATAAGGGACAGTCACTGGTGTGCGAACGGTCGCAGTCGTACAAAATATACCTAAATAAAGACAGGTATAGAAACACCGCCGCATCCAGCGCCCGGCCAAAAGACGCCAGACTGCAGAAACTCACCTGGCGAATGGTGGCACGAACTGGACACGACTCAACCGTGCCCAGAAGAACTTGAGAGCACCGCCAGGTGAAGACGCCAGAGCCGGACCCTGCCGGACCCGCAGGAGAACAGGGAGAGGCGAGGGAGGCGGTCCACACCCATGACAGGGAAAACCGCGGTGTCCTCCCCACAACAGGGAACCAGGACACCCCCGGCGCGAAGGGGCACATACCGCAGCCAGGGAGAAGAACGAGAGGCGAAGCACTGAAGCAAAAAAGGGCGCAAAACCCCAGCACTGAAACACCGCCCAGACCAAAACAAACTCCACGGCGCATGCGCAGAACACGCCGGCCGAACCGCACACCCTCCCTGCGGGAAGGCGCCAGCCAGGACTACTGCACGAGAAAAGGAGCCAAAAGAGGAAGCAGGAACAAGAAAACCGGCCAAAGAAGCAAAAGAGCCCAAAAAGGAATCCAACCGGGCGACAAGCAGCCCAACCGGGCGACAAGCAGCCCAACCGGGCGACAAGCAGCCCAACCGGGCGACAAGCAGCCCAACCGGGCGACAAGCAGCCCAACCGGGCGACAAGCAGCCCAACCGGGCGACAAGCAGCCCAACCGGGCGACAAGCAGCCCAACCGGGCGACAAGCAGCCCAACCGGGCGACAAGCAGCCCAACCGGGCGACAAGCAGCCCAACCGGGCGACAAGCAGCCCAACCGGGCGACAAGCAGCCCAACCGGGCGACAAGCAGCCCAACAGGGCGACAAGTAGCCCAACAGGGCGACAAGTAGCCCAACAGGGCGACAAGTAGCCCAACAGGGCGACAAGTACGAGGAGCCGACAGACGTTCCAATAATGCGGGAAGCAGCGAAAAACCTTCCCGTACCCTCGAGAACACAGAAGCCAACACTAGTCCCGAAGGCACACGAAGGCGCAGGCGCACACGAGATCAGAAGTCACGCAGAACCCCACCGAACGGGGAAACATGACAAAAACACCGTCCCAAAAAGGGGGGGGGGGAGGAAACATCCACCCACAGGACGGAACCAACCGACTCAAAGGCCAAGGAACCGAGCCCGGGGAGGGGCCGACATCCAACAGCACGTACGGCGAGTGGGGAGGAAAGACCCCACTCCGCGTAACCACAAGCCCCGCCTAGAGGGGGATAAAAACCCCCACGGGGTCTAACGGGGCCAAGGCCCCCCCAAGTCAGCCCCTCCCCAGCCCCGGGAACCTACACGACAGGCCCCGGGGCCGAGCCGTTCCCCCAAAGCCCCGGCCGTACCAGAAAACCGGGGCAGCCGCGAAAACACTAAGGAAGGGAGCCCACTGGCAGACTCATACAACACGGCTGGAGGAACAGGCCCAAATGCCCCCGTCACTACCCCGGAAGGGGAATTCCCCGAGACTGCCCGAGTCTCAACACCACCAAAAACCCCGCCCCGAACCTACAGACCGTAAGGAACCGGATGCAGGCAGGGTGAACCAGGGGAAAAGACAAAGGGGCGTGGATGGAACCGAAGCAGCCAACACCCCCAAGTCCCAAAACGAACTACAACGGGGCAGCCCCGGGGCTCCTGGGGAGGAAACCACGAGAACGTTGCCACCACCAAGGCTCAAGTGCAACGCCCCTGCTGCCCGCACCCGCTGTGTTAGCACAACTGGGTAACCGAGCCACAACGAGCAACCAAACTCGCAGGACTCCGGGTCGAAGGTGTCACCGACCCCACAGGCAGCAGACGGAGGCAAAACAGAGAGTCACCCAGAGACAAAAGGTGAGAGCAACCCTCAAACTCGCTGGAAGCGAGGGGGGGGCTCTGGGGTCACATCCATCGGACCCGCGCGCCCCCAGGGGTTTCCCAGGGTCCCGAGCGTTTACTTTAAGAAGACTCGCGCTCAGGTAGTCCCAGGCAGGGTACTGCTAACCGGCACCCAAAGCTACCAAACAACTTTCTAAGAGCTGAACCCCCGGGACGTGTACACTCACGGGGACCTAGCAGGGGGCACCACCAGAAAATACTCAGAACACAAGGGACACAAGGGGCAAGAACGAAGGCAGACCCCCCCACCAGGTAGATAAACAAAAAGAAAAAGAAAACCCTGCAAGAGGACAGCGTACCCAAGCGGAACAGAGCCGGCCGCTATGATTGGTAAAGACAAGCTGCACAGTACCCCGCGCCCCACCAGTGCAAACACTGCCCCTTACTCTAAGGCGAACAAGGGAGACAGAACCCCCGAGCACACAAAGAGCGGCCGAAAACCAAGCAGTAAACGGCCAAGCAGGGGCAGGACCCAAGGAACTTGTGGAAGGTGGCCCCAAGCCCCAAGGGCAGTACTTACAGGGCACCTAGGGAAGGGAACCCTAGGCGCATGCAGCCCGAGTACTGAAGAATCACTCCCGGCTCACGCACCACCTAGAAAACAGACACCACACTCTAGGTACAGTGCTGAAACAACCACTGGAGCCGGAGCACATAACCATTGCCTATAGCATCAGCCGAAGAACTGGTGGGTGGATAGCCGGCGTGGGAGGTCTGGGGCTCCCCCTTCCCCCTCCTGGGGAGGGGGGAGCTGCGCAGACAGCGGCGCGGTGACGTATGACGTCATACTAGTTTCCTTGTTTTCTGTTGAAGAGTTCTATCCACTAGTTCGGCTTAGGTAGCAATTTTCACCAGAATAGGGGTTTGTTTTGGAATGCTTACCTTTCTGGATGCTTGACCCGGTCGATGGCAGACATAGAATGCTTCCAACCACACGGGGGTTTCTATAGGCCATTGCTCCCCTTGCCTCTCTGAGGGGGCCAGGTTCTGGCTCGTGGTCCCCGGTAGGCCCTAGAACTCCATACACATGACTGATGCCAAAGTCTGACATTAGCATATCAGCCGGTAAAGCTCCGGGGAGTTGACGGGGCTCCCCCCAGAAAAGGCTTTTGACAGTCCCACAAGAGGCTGTTCTGGAAACTGGAACACTCTGCAGGGGTGACAGGGAGACTTTTGACATCGAAGAAAAATATTGTACCTGACACACAGATGAGGGCGGTAATCAGAGACAACGTATCTGACTGGAGGAGTATTACTAGCAGAGTATCACAGATTTCAGTTCTTGCACTAGTTATGTTCATCGTTTACAGAAATGATCTACCAGAAGAAGTACAGAATTACATGAACATGTTTGCAAATGGTGCTACGATACTGGGGAAGATAGGAGATGCAAACGATTGTAATGCCGTTCAAATCGATCTAGACAAAATAAGGGTTTGGAGCATCAAGTGGCAAATGGAATTCAATGTGAATACATGACATACTGTATTATGGTTTGTGGAATAGGAGAAAATAGACCACACACAACTTACAAATTATGTGGAAATGAATTACAGAACTCTCATAAAGAACGAGACATGGGATGGTTTGGATAGTAAGCTGTCGCCAGAGGAACACAAAGAATATTTTGAGAGGAGCACATGCGTCACTTTCCAACTTCAGACTTGTTTTTAATTATATGGATGGTGAAATACTAAAGAAACTGTTCATGACTTTTGTGAGACCAAAATTGGAATATGCAGCAGTTGTATGGTGCCAAAATCTCAAGCAGCACATAAATAAACTGAAAAAGGTGCAACAGCATGCTACAAAATGGCTTCCAGAACTGAAAAATAAGAGTTAAGAAGAGATTCTAAAGGCATTAAATATGCCAAAACTAGAAGATAGAAGAAAAGTAGGTGATATGATCACCACTTACAAAATACTAACAGCAATCAACCAAATTGACAAAGAGGAATTCATGACACCAGCAACTTTATGAACAAGAGAACATACATTCAAGCTGAGGAAACAAAGGTGCCGAAAAATATTAGAAAATTTTCTTTTGCAAACAGAGTGGTAGACGGTTGGAACAAGTTAACATAGAAGGTGTTAGAGGCCAAAACTATCAGAAGTTTCAAAATATTATATGAGAGTGGTGATAAGACGGGACACCACCGGTGTAGCTGTCATCTTGTAACTACACTTAGGTATTTACACTTGGGTAATTACACACACACAGCTCAATGTTAGTGATATTAAGTAATATTTATTTATTACTGTACCAGTAAGTATGAAACTTACAGATGTGAAAATGTAACTTACTAGATGTTTATAAGCTGAAGGTGATACTTTCTTCAAGAGTTTGTACAAGATGTCTCCATCAACTTGAATTGCTTCCTGCAAACAAAAACATGAAAAGATTATGACATCATAATGTCTAAGTGAAACAAAGAAAACTTTACACTACTACTTCTAGCAACATGTGAAAGTGTTATCATGAAGAAGAGCAACTTCTCCTACGTAAACAACTGCCTCCAGGAGGCTTTGTCATCACACAAATTAAGAATTTCCCTCTCTGACGCTCTCTTACCCACCCCGTGTTTACCCCAAGATCTTGTTCTTTACACACACAGATCACACTAACGTGACGCATCAACTGAACAAATCCACAAGGGCCGCACAAGGGTTTGTGCCTCGGAGAGGCTACGGGATCCAGTAAGTTCAGTAGAACTTCGGTTTCAACCCATTTAACCCTGTCGTAGCTCAGTCGATTAAGGCAGCGTCTGGGATGCTCCCGGACGCAGGTTCGAATCCTCGTCACGGCCCTCGTGGATTTGTTCATATTGTTCTTTGCTCTGTTCCCTGCAGTTGAGGGGACTTTCTCCACCCTGCCTGGGTTGGGACCTTTGAGTGAACACATGTTTCTCTAGGCTCATGTGGCCAGCTTCACCATTATTCCAGCCCTTCTCTTCTGTTGCCTCATCCTGTGGCTCTCCCAAGACTCTCTCTCTCTCTCTTGCAACAGTACAGTGGCGAGACCTATCTATATGGTTCATGGCACTCTTCTCATGGAGTTTCTAGGACTGTTGTGCCATCCCATTTGGGAGGCAAGTAGCAGACCAGCTCTTTAACAGTTTTCCACATATGCAAAAATCAGCCATCTTGTGATTTAATAGTTCATTTTATTTTAGATTAACCAGGCTATCATTCTGGTGTTGAATTATCATAATCAGGAGATTGTATTGGGTTCATATTGTTTATTGGTAAAGCATTCCATGCAAGAGTCTAGAAAAAAAATCATCAGGAAAGACCAGTGTTGAATGTAATGAAATGACCCATGGCATAACATATAATAATTACTGCACTTTTATATTCAAAAACCAAAAAAATCTCAAAAATTATGAAATTTTTACAAGCACGATCTTCACTAAGCGAGCGGCTCTGGTAAACTGAGGCGGAGTCAGCTGTGCCACCAGGAAACCACGTGGTCGACCCATACGCATATCAACAAAGTTGCTAGTCGAGGCGAAGGTCGCAAGTCGAGTTGCATTTTCCGACGAAATTTACGTCGTAACTCGAAAAATTCGTAAATAGGGGTAGTTGTAAGTCGAGTTACCACTGTAAATTTATTCATGTCTGCCACCATCAAGGAAAGGCACCCAGAAAGACAGTGAAACAAAACAGACCTCTGCTCGGTTAGTTGGTTAGAAACAAAGCAGACTCAAAGCAGCCAAAAGAACTCCCCCCAAACAATGTAAATAAATGATCAAAAATTTGTAAAACTAGTGCGAGCTAGTTCGCCCCACCTCCCTCCCTCGTTTGTGGGGAGGAGCGAGGCAGACCGGGTCAGCCGGCTGCTCCCGCCATTTCTTATGATGTTAGAAACCCCTCCGACGCCCTGGGAGACGGAGTGTGTCAGGGAATCACCGGGGCTCACCCAGAAATTGGTGTTCCATTACATTCAACATTGGTGTTCCTGGGAGCCCCTTGTGGCTCATTGAAACTAATTACCCAAGGAGAAAGAAGGGCACTCACCAGGGAGAAGGAAGCACTACAGGTATAAAGATGAAGAGGAGACTATCGGCCGAGACACCCAACTCCAGGCCACATAAGGCCACTGAGGACTAGCAACAGACACAAGAAACCTGCTGCCAAGACCCTATCTGACTGCCAAAACTCCAGCATTCGAATATCAGCCCAAGACACATTAGCAAAGACTGCCAAAAAAGTGCCAGACTCACCCACATTATGGGCACAAGGGTACTCGCCCTTCTCTACACCAGAAGAGACCTGAACTGTATACAGCAGACACACTAAACAGCTAAATCACTTTCACTTGAGTTGTCTCCGCAGACTCCACATCAGGTGGCAGAACAAAATCCCAAACACGGAGGTCCTGGAAGGGGCTGGTATTCCTAGTGTTTATACACTCCTACAGAAAACTCAGGCCAGAGGGGCAGGTCACGTTGTCAGAATGCCTGACAGCCGACTGCTTAAACAGCTGCTGTATGGAGAATTATGCCAGGGCACATGCTCTGTTGGGAGGCAGAAGAAACAATTCAAGGACTGTCTCAATGTGACCCTCAAGGACCTGGACACCAGCACCAATACTTGGGAGTCGTTTGCTCAGGATTGTCCAACTTGGAAAACCAAAGTCACCACAGGGGTCTGTGTGGCAGAAAAACCACGTGCAAAGCTAGAGCAACCTCCACCTCTGCCAGTAGCACTCGCCCACAAATGTCCCGTGCGTGGGCGAACCTTCCGGACCCATATTAGTCTCATCCTCCACCATCTGACACACACAGCCACCAACCTTCGGACCTGATATATTGAAGTCATGGTCATCTTCACATCCGAAGGACGATCATCATCGTGGGCATGAGGGTGGTAAACCACAAGCTGGCCAAATTTTATGACACTGCAGACGACCTACGAAACACGAGCCCTGGAACAGGGAACCAGAAAAACCAGATCAACCGACAAGAAGTCCACCAAATCTCATGAGTAGGCAGATAAATAAATGGCTGCTGAAATTCAATCCAAATAAGTGCAAAGTAATGAAAATAGGTATGGGAGACAGGAGACCTGGATTTAACTATATTATAAAGAGATGGCAACTTAGACAGAACCAATAATAGAAAAAGACCTGGGAGGTTATCTTGAGATGATTTCGGGGCTTTAGTGTCCCCGCGGCCCGGTCCTCGACCAGTTCTCCACCCCCAGGAAACAGCCTGTGACAGCTAACACCCAGGTACCTATTTTACTGCTAGGTAACAGGGGCATAGGGTGAAAGAAACTCTGCCCATTGTTTCTCGCCGGCGCCCGGGATCGAACCCGGGACCACAGGATCACAAGTCCAGCGTGCTGTCCACCCGGCCGACCGGCTCCCTCGGTTGACAATACTAACACCAGAGGCTCATATGAACAGGATAACATCAGCAGCACATGGGAAGTTAGCAAACATAATGTCATCTAAGAATGTAAACAAAGCTTTCAAGTCCATACACACACTCTACCTATGTGAGATCATTACTTGAGAATGCAACTCCAGCATAGAACTCACACCTTGTCAAGTATAAATAGAAACTTGAGAAATTTCAGAGGTTTGCAACTAAACTAATACACCACAATTGAGAAACTTTAGCTATGAGGATAGGTTGAGATAACTCGGCCTCACAATCTTAGAGGAGAGAAGAAACAGAGGAGATATAATAACTGCATACTAGGAAGCCTATTTAAATTAGGAAGAGGTAGGACAAGGGAACATCAGTGGAAGCTAGATATGCAACTGATATGAAGAGATGTAAGGAAGTTTTCATTCCCCTGTAGTGTGGTAAGAAAGTGGAATGCACTGAAGGAAGAGGTTGTTGAAGCCCATTCCTTCCACACCTTTAGAAACAAATACAATGAACACATTAATATTGAGAGGGGGGGTAATTAGTATGCCAGGTATGAAGAATAAGAGGCCAGGCATGTAGAGTAAGAAGCCAGGCATGTAGAGTAAGAGGCCAGGCATGTAGAGTAAGAAGCCAGGCATGTAGAGTAAGAGGCCAGGTATGTAGAGTAAGAAGCAAGGCATAAAGAGCTAGACTTCACTCGTGTAGTCACTGATATGCAAGCACTGAAGGTGTAAGCTGTCTCGCACAACTTGCTAACTCTTGTAACAAACTTCACTATTGATTTGCTGCCCTCACTTTGCCTTTTAATACAGAGTACATGACCCACTCACCAGTCCTCTTGCATAGTAGCCGGGAACGTATTTATCGCAGATCGATTTTAAGCACCAAAATGCAGGTTCGGCAGGCATCTGCATGAGAAGAACAGCGGCAAGAGGAGCATGAGCCTGGCAGTACTCATCAGGTGACACCTGCGCATGCACCTTCAGCACACGGAACAAATCTTCTTGCCTGGTGAAAATTAACAAATACAGTACTCTAGAATTAACATAACAGTGTAATTGTATATAAATAGCTCACATATGTGCAAAGGCCTTTGTGTTTGACGGAGGCAAAAAAACAAAAGAAAGAGTTAAAATTAACAAATCTTAAGGGAAAAGTATCGAGTGCGATAAAATATCCTTTTCTGGGCAGCAGCTCAATAGCCATAATGAGCACACAACACTGGCACCCAAGGGCCACTATTGATATACCAGTACCTTATACTGTACCATTACCTGGCTGGTGTGACTAGGAGCTACGTATCATAAATGAAGTTAAGGGCGAGTGGAAAACAACTACAAGAGGAGTGTCCTCTTTGGTTTACAACACATAAAAATTATCTATACATAGGATCGAACTCCAATATTTGCAAATTTTCAGAAGATACAAAAATAAGGCAAAAAATAAATACAGGTTAAAAAGGATTCCTTCAAAAGCTTTCTAGATTGTCTTTTAAAATAGACAAACGATTAGCCAATATAAATTAATGTTGAAACATGTACAACGAAGGATGAGAAACTTAATCCCACGGATTACAAACCTCCCAAATGACGAAAAAGATTAACAAAAGCTTAATTTTCCTTCTCAAGCAAGGTGAAGAGCAAGGGGGGGGGGGTGACATAATGAAGTGTACAAATACACAAAAATGTCCTGAAGTCATACTTCAGTAAGTCATACCTGAGATAATGAAACATGTGGGGACTTACCCATGACCTCCTTTCTGAAGGAACATTTCATGAAGGGGAAACTGCCGGTGAAGATCTTTTCTGATGTCATCTTCAAGTCGGGGATCAGCAGGAGCCTCAGCAAGCTGGTCAAACGCTCCGGGGTTTCTTTCTAATTGTCTGATGGTGGAAAGAAATGAGTGTGAAACAACAGCAGAGCTTAACAACAGATGTTTAAAATTAGAACAAGTATCAGCAAGAGAAGCTGGTGTCAAGAACTGAAGATTAGCAAGAAAAGCAAGTGAATCAAGAACTAATATCAACAAGTGAAGCCTGTGTGTCAAGAACAAATGATCAACAAGTGAAGCCTGTGTGTCAAGAACAAATGATCAACAAGTGAAGCCTGTGTGTCAAGAACAAATGATCAACAAGTGAAGCCTGTGTGTCAAGAACAAATGATCAACAAGTGAAGCCTGTGTGTCAAGAACAAATGATCAACAAGTGAAGCCTGTGTGTCAAGAACAAATGATCAACAAGAGAAGCCTGTGTGTCAAGAACTAATATCAACAAGTGAAGCCTGTGTGTCAAGAACAAATGATCAACAAGTGAAGCCTGTGTGTCAAGAACTAATATCAACAAGTGAAGCCTGTGTGTCAAGAACAAATGATCAACAAGTGAAGCCTGTGTGTCAAGAACAAACGATCAACAAGTGAAGCCTGTGTGTCAAGAACTAATATCAACAAGTGAAGCCTGTGTGTCAAGAACAAATGATCAACAAGTGAAGCCTGTGTGTCAAGAACTAATATCAACAAGTGAAGCCTGTGTGTCAAGAACAAATGATCAACAAGTGAAGCCTGTGTGTCAAGAACAAACGATCAACAAGTGAAGCCTGTGTGTCAAGAACAAATGATCAACAAGTGAAGCCTGTGTGTCAAGAACAAATGATCAACAAGTGAAGCCTGTGTGTCAAGAACTAATATCAACAAGTGAAGCCTGTGTGTCAAGAACAAATGATCAACAAGTGAAGCCTGTGTGTCAAGAACAAATGATCAACAAGTGAAGCCTGTGTGTCAAGAACTAATATCAACAAGTGAAGCCTGTGTGTCAAGAACAAATGATCAACAAGTGAAGCCTGTGTATCAAGAACTAATATCAACAAGTGAAGCCTGTGTGTCAAGAACAAATGATCAACAAGTGAAGCCTGTGTGTCAAGAACAAATGATCAACAAGTGAAGCCTGTGTGTCAAGAACAAATGATCAACAAGTGAAGCCTGTGTGTCAAGAACAAATGATCAACAAGTGAAGCCTGTGTGTCAAGAACAAATAATCAACAAGTGAAGCCTGTGTGTCAAGAACAAATGATCAACAAGTGAAGCCTGTGTGTCAAGAACAAATAATCAACAAGTGAAGCCTGTGTGTCAAGAACAAATAATCAACAAGAGAAGCCTGTGTGTCAAGAACAAATAATCAACAAGAGTAACCTGTGTGTCAAGAACAAATAATCAACAAGAGAAGCCTGTGTGTCAAGAACAAATAATCAACAAGAGAAGCCTGTGTGTCAAGAACAAATAATCAACAAGAGAAGCCTGTGTGTCAAGAACAAATAATCAACAAGAGTAACCTGTGTGTCAAGAACAAATAATCAACAAGAGAAGCCTGTGTGTCAAGAACAAATAATCAACAAGAGAAGCCTGTGTGTCAAGAACAAATAATCAACAAGAGTAACCTGTGTGTCAAGAACAAATAATCAACAAGAGTAACCTGTGTGTCAAGAACAAATAATCAACAAGAGAGCTCACTTGTGAGCACCACACAGGTGCTGCCATCCTCGTGCGCGCAGTGATGATGGAATGCCCTTACGACAGCGGTCACAGACTTTCTTGTATTTCTTGAGCATGTGAGAGTCCCAGTTGCTGAACATCTCCAGCCATTTTTTCTCGCGTCGTCTGATCACATCGACCGGTACAGTCTCCTCACTATTGAAAAGCTAAACATCAGAAATCAAGCTTCAATATGGACCAAAAAAATTAACACAAAGTTTCTTTCATATAGCGGTTTTTACACATAATGGTACGTATAGATACATACAATAATGCTTAACATGTACAGTATGCACCACAAGTCACACCTAATCTTATATGAGTATCAATCTCTGACACTCTACATAGGTTACATTTTGTTAAGAATCTTACGGATAAATTTAACTTACAAAAAGTTAAAAAAAAAAAATTAAAAAGTCAAAAAGTTAGCAAAAGTACACTCAACTCCCAATCAGACAAATTTGTACCAACCATTCCATTGGAACTGGAATCCCATTGTATTCAACATTTGTTATTTTCTATAAAATTGTACCCAACATTATTAGTTTAATTACAGTACAGTATAGTAAAAAACAGAACACTCTTTTGCACACATTTTGATACCAGAAGAGCGAGTGTGTGACTGGAGAGTTTGGCACATACCAGTCCTCCGAGTACTGTGCACCTCCTAGGAAGCCAAACTTGTCAGGCACCGTGGACACTTCAGACGCGGCCGCAACGCTGCTGGCCACTGACTCGGAGTCCGACCAGTCCCGGGTCGCCATCACAACCTCTGCATCACCAACTGGAAACCGGTGACTTGAGTTAACATGTGAAACATTCTCATGTGAACAAAGAATTATTCTATTTCTAAAATTTAGTCATGATTTTATTACCTTCGTACAATGGATTATAATATTCAATTTAAAAAAATACTTAAGAGTATAATTGACATTTTGGTGTAACAATTTGCAACTTATACAACACAGTATTTTTATATTATTAATATTAAAAAATGATGTGAGCTTATACAGATAATAATTACTTTTAAACAGCATAAGGAAATGCCATTAAATTTTTGTTTAATGTAAAACATAGCCATTTATATGAATCACTTAAAAAACTGAGTACAAGTCTTTAATAAAATCTTAAATCAAAGTATTTGCTTTGAAAGAGAATGTGGAACAGTGCTCCCCAAACCTGGGTAAATTACCCAAAAGTGGTTAGAAGTGACTTTTCTTTCGATAACATCAAATCGTTGAATACACATTAGAATTTACTATAAAAGTGTACAAGAAGTGCTATAAAGTGATCAGTCCATTTATGGTGTGTCCTGCAACCCGTCCTTCTAATAGAACGTCGCATTTTGACGAATACTCCACCTAAAGCCAAAAATTGTCGCACTAGAAAATGGTAGCGGCTTGTGAAATTGACATGCTGTCCTGTTTTCTGTTTTGGGTCCTCTGGCAGGTTAGAATAGCGGCACTTTAGTACGACAGTTTCTTGACGTTGGGAACCTTAAGAGGATGGGCTGGTGTGTTATGGAAACAGGACGTAAATGGTGCAGTGTGTTGCTAGCTGTGACGGAGAGGTACCATGCTGGCTGTATGCCACTCACATTTTTTGTGACAACTGATTCATATTTATACGTACACCTTATTATACAGAAACTCTCAATGTGTTCTCTGTTTTAGAGTCATATCACTGTTCGTGAACCAGTTATTCATTGTAGTAAACTTATACCATATGCTATCCCGCCAAACACACGACCAAACAACGTTATGTGCTCTGCCGTGCTACCTTGCCAAACACACCACCAAACCACATGTGTTGTATATTCTGCCGTGCTACCTCACCAAACCCACGACCAAACCACATGTGTTGAAATGTTTAAGTGCCCAAACAACTGCCAAGGCTTCTCGTTCTGTTGCACTATAATTTTTCTCTTCTTTAGATAAAGTACGGCTAGCATAAGCTATTGCGTGATCTCTGTGACCTTCTGTTTGAAGTAATGCAGCACCTAGACCTATGTCACTAGCATCTGTAACCAACGTAAAAGGTTTAGAAAAATCTGGGTACCTAAGGACAGGTGACGAAATCAAGGCTGCTTTGAGTTTTTTGAATGACTGATCCTGGGCCTCTCCCCAAACAAAGGGTTCATCTTTTCTTTGCAACTTGTAAAGCGGAGCGGCTATAATAGAGAATCCAGCAATAAATGAACGATAAAATCCTACAAGACCTGTGAACTGTCTTACGGCTTCTGTGGTACGAGGTGTTGGAAAATCACGGGCAGCAATAATTTTTGATTCATTCAATGTAATACCTGAAGGTGTAACTGTATGACCTAGGAAATTAATCTTTTGCTTTAAAAATGAACATTTTGCAAGCTTTATTTTTAAATTAGCTTCAGCGAGCTTTGCAAGTACTTTTTCAAGGTTCTGGAAATGAGTCTGAACATCTTGCGACATGATTATGAGATCATCAAGGTAAACTAGAAGCGTACTTCCTATCAATCTACGAAATAGATTTGTCATGAGTCGTGAAAAGGTTATTGGACTACTACGCAAACCAAACGGCATTCTTTTGAAATGAAAATGACCATTGGGAGTACTAAAGGCTGTCAATTGTTTACTTTCCTCATCAAGGGGGATTTGCCAGAATCCCTGCAACAAATCTAACGTTGAGAATACAGTGGTACCTCGCATAACGAATTTAATCCGTTCCATGTTCGTCATGTGAAACGGACGTCATACAAAACGAGTGTCCCCCATGTAACCAGTGTGATGCACTGTGTTTATTGTGAAATTTCCCCAGTGTGCATGACATCAAATGTTCCCCAAAATATAATTTTTCTTTGTAAAATGATAAATTACCGTCCCTGAACATGTCTATGTAGAAATAATTACCAAATTCCACTTACTTTGGCTGTGAGGGCGTGGACAAGGTGTGCTGTGACGTCATCAGGGGCTGGTCGCCGGTGTGTGAAGCTCCCAGACACGGTCGCGCAGGCCATTCAAGCACCGCGTATTGCCACAAATATATTTTCAAATATTTTTTCTATGCATTTCCCATGCGGTTTTATTACCGTGTCTTAGCCGTGTCTAATTGACAACCAAGCCCATTGGTTGGGAACCTTAATATACTGTTGCCCAATTATAAAACACTATGTAAAATTACTTACGTAGTCTGTAACCTTTGTGAGAAGTGCCTTTTCTGATTGGGCCGTGGTGGCTTCTTGAAGCTAGCCACCCTGGAAAAGCACCACACAAGTCACAGCCCCAGGAGTCGTTAATGGCCTATTGGTGACCAGAGTCGGAATCTGGGCCCTCAAGGAGGCACAGGGAGTAGGGAATGCTTTATGATCATCCTTAACAATGGAAACATACAGAAAGTAAGTAAAGCAAAGCAGCCAACCTGGTTGATGGGGTTCTGGGAGTTCTTCTACTCCCCAAGAACCAACTGCAAAATTCACAGAGAAAAGAGAAATGAAGCAGCAAACGTCTCTGCAAATGATCCATTCAGTAGGCAGTTCTTTCCTTCCCACTAGTTACAGCTGCCAACTAACAGGTGGCAGCACCTTGGGAGTGACCAGACAATGTAATCCTTCTGGCTTCTTGATGGCCTATTATTCCGGTTCTGTGCCTGAATCAGAGTATATTCCATGTCTCCTTTCTGTTTATAGTATTGGTCAGTAAATGTTC